AAAAATAACTTTTAATAGCCTTTAAAATGGCTAGTAAAAACGCCATTAAAAAAAATAAGTTTTCTCGACAATTTAGTAGGTCTTTACCAGCATTTTATATAAATGCCGGTAATAGTATTAGCGACACTGGATACACCAGCCATTATTTAAATGCTGGTAAAAAAAATAATGACCATTTATATGGTCGCTAAAGAATAAATTAATTGCTACAAAAACCTAATTTTGGTGTAATATAACCACTACATATGTATTTAAAATTTTTAATTTATAAGAAAAAAAATTCATAACAATCGATTACATTAATTAAAAATTATATAATTTAAGACTAGTTAATAATTTCTCGGAACTTGGACAATCCATACACCAGAATACCTAAGTCCCTGTCACATTTTTCCATTGTTGAGATATTTTGGATCCGTATGTGTTCCAGAACCATTTAATAACAATTGATTACATGATACACAAAAGACGTATTTGTTCTAGGACCATCTAATAATTTCTGGGAACTCAGGCACATTTTTGTTTTTTGCATTGTTGACTAAGTTTGGTTCCTTGATATTTATAATTTATACTTAGGGAAAATGGATGGAAATGCTACAATCAGAAGCAGCCTCTACCAGTTTTCAGCCATCTACATGTTCCTGAACCTTTGGTGGTGCTACAAGGAGTGCTAAAGAGAATGAGGTTTCCGGTGTATCTGCAAGATATCACAACAATGACAGCATTGCGCAGAGATGGGCATCCTTCAGTGTATAGGAAGGTAACAAGCCAAGATGAGAGACAGAAACCAGGGAAAGTCCTTCCCTCTGATTGCAGCCATTGGTGCCTCCCTGGGGTGCCTGATATTTGGAATGAGATGCTGAGTGCATTGCTTTGACTATAATGGAATGTGTTATGGAAAAAGTAAGGACTGTACAACATCTCTTCTAGATGATGAAAGGTTGGAGTAATTTGTACAAAGTCCTAGATTCGAGCTCTGTTGTTGTTAATGTAATTCTGATGGATAAAAAAAAATTGCTCTAGATAAGCATCAATATCATATAGAGCCTTTCATGGTTTCTCTTGCAAGATCACTTGTCTCGTGTTCTATTTGTTAGCATTAATTTTTTGTTATTTGGGTTTCTCAATTGTATCTTCTTTTGAACACAATCCTGTGTTTAGGCATGATGGAGACTAACCTTTTGTTTGTTAGAAATAGAAAAGAGAGAAAATGAGAAGTGGGAAGTGAAAGGGAAAAAGTAGCTTTAGCTTAATTAAGAGAGTAGAAAAGAGAGAAAATATAATGTAGATCCTAGTTAAAATAAAATTTCTTCTCAAATTAGAAGAAGAAAAATACAAAAATAAAGGTGTGAAAAATGAGTCCTATTTAAAATTACATTTTAACATTGTTATTTTTTTTATTTACTTTCACAACATTTATTATATATTAAGGGCAAAAATATCTTTAAAAAAAGTATTTCCTTTTTGTCTACTTTCGTATTTAGCCAAATTTATTTTCTTCCTTTTTTTCTTTCTCTTTTACTTCTCGCTCACTTCTTTCATTCCAATTACTCTAAAAATCTATTTATTTTATAATCATTATCTTTTCTCTCTTACTTTTATGTCTTATTTCTTTTTCATACTTCTTTGTATATCAAAAATCTATATCATAGATGTAAGTATCCTTAATTCACCATATTTTGAGGGAGTAACTCATTCTATTAGAACTAACATCTCATTAATCTAATGTTAATAGATGGATATATAGCATTGGATTTTTTAGTATGATTTTCACAAAGCAAGTTTCATCTACCATTTTGAAGCAAAAGTAAAAAAGTTAAAAGATGTGACAATCTCAAAGTATTTTGCTAACAAAAAGAAAATGTAGTAATCTAAATTTGTGGGTGCTCCGAGAAAGGGATGACATCCTTTGCACTTTAACACTAGAGGTAGGGGATACCTATAAAGATACTTTGATGCTCAAGTTAGAGAGGAGTTTAGGTTAAGAATGTGACAAGGATTAGAATGATATCTAATGCCCTTTAAATATATGCTTAATCTTATCATTAAGCCTAGACATTCAATTGCTTGAGTTAGGAAATGATTAATTTGTCTATTGAAGATAATGTGTTCAATTATGATAATTTGATATTTTTTTAGAGATATTCATGCAAAGATATTTCATTAGTTGTTGAGGGTTAATGACTTAAGATTTATCGTTATGGCAATGAACTAGAGACACAATGTAGATGAGTAAAAGCTTAGCTCAGCTTGACCGAATTGAATGCTACAAAATTGAATAATTTTATGAGTAATTAATAAAGATGACCTTCTCGTTGTATAAAATTTAAAAAGAAAACAAATAAAAATAGAAACTTATATTTGATATTTGTTTAATAAAATAATAATTTTAGTTGTATTAGAAAATATCATAACCAAGAAAGAAGGAGAGAAGGGAGAGAAAAAAATGAGATGCAATAGGTGATGTGATGGAAAGAGTTAAAAGAGAAGTATAATTATATAAATCCTTGTATAAATAAAAAAATCAAAAAAAATAAAGAGAGATATAATAAATAAATAAAAATTTAAAAAACCTTGAAACAGGCGCATGGGAGTAAAAAATAGTACTCAAATGAGTGCAACAACCTAAAAGAGGGGCAAGAGAATCATTGAACAAAGGAGCTTTTGGGATTTGTTACAGCTTCATTGAAATGATTCTGTTAGATAAAGGCAAACCAGCAGAAGAAAAAACATGATTGAATGGAATAGTAAAAAGAACAAATGCCAAACATCCACCATCTCCTCCTTTGATTTCGTGATATTTGCACAAAACAATTTATGATTGAACCAAATCTTAAACTATGAACAGAAAGTAAAACAAAAAACTTGGAAAGTTTTTGGTCATTCTAAAATCAAAACACTTATTTTGTTTTTTTTTTTTTTTTAAAGAAGAGCCGTAAAAAATTAACTTGTTTTTTTTTATATAACTATATTATTAGTATAGAGTACTCATTAACTTTATATATAATTAACTTTTTTGAAAAATTTGACTAATATTTTTAATCAACTCTTCCCTTGCAATCATAATCACGTAGTAATAACTTTGTGTTAGAAGACCATTTGTTTAGAAAAGGTGTGTAGATCAAGTTTGAGCACGTAGACAAATAGATGAAGAATAAACATAGTAAAAGACAACCGTTTTAATTAGTAAATAAACTATTAATGGAAAGTAAAACGTTAAAGACTAATTTTTCTGAAACAAAAATATTCAACATATGTAATGTTAATTACATTATGGATAGGAGAAAGTAAAACGTTTTTACGGTCATCATGTCGAGCAATTATATGCGAACATTTTCTTCATATATATTTGGCGAGGGAAAGCTTTTCTATTATATGTTTATTAGATTTGCACCCGTGATTGGCACGGAAAATAAATTATTATAGTTAATAAATTTTATTTTAATAATTAATATATATATATATATATAATTATAAAAATTAATTGAACTCAACGTAGTATAAAGAAAAATATCTGAATATATAAATAAAATAACAATGATAAATGATTGAAAACATAATATGAAATATTAGGAAAACTAAATTGTATTGTGTCTCAACTTTATAAACATCAACATCTACAATATGGGCTAATGCATAAACCTGAAGAAAAAAAAAACTTTATAATTAACTTATAAGAGGTGTAATATTAAAATGCTATAAAGATGTAGCAATTCAAATATAAAGGAAATAAAATTAAATTTTTACCTTATACAGTAATTATGTAATGACTTCTGAACACATCCATCATGGAAAATAAACTTGGTGAAATGCCTGAAAAATTGGTAAAATTAAAACTAAAGTAGACATGTTTTCCTTTTATAATGTGATTATAAAAAAAATGCAAGTTACCTATGTCAGAGTTTGAAAGACTTCTTTATAAACTACATTAATAGATGTTGAACCATTTACCTCATCATCACAAATAAGAATTTTCAGACCACTACGAGATGTGACTTGAGATATTTCGACATATAATTGGCCATGTGAGAAAACAGGTTTTGGAAGATAGATGGCAACATGCTTCAATAATTGTCCTTGGATTTTATTTATTGTCATGACAAAGGAGACATTTATTGGAAATTATTAATGTTGAAATTTGAAAGGAATTCTCTTATCTGATGGGATTAAGGACAATCGAGGAATAAAAATCTTTTGTCTAATATTGCTGCCTGATATCACTTCTTCCTCCAAAATATATTTATCCAACTGAGTTATGATAAGTTTAGTTCCATTACACAACCCAGAAGATTGGTCTATATTTTTCAACAACATTATCGGAACACCAACTTTCAATTTCACCTCATGATTTGGAAGTTCAGAAGCAGTGATAATAATAAGGAATTCAGGGGTATGAACATCATTAGGTGTACCTAATTTCTCTTAAGTAGAACATGTAACACAAAGAGAATCTAGGATTTACTAGATTTTAACCCTTTTGCACTTTCTTATAATACCACATCATTGCTCCACATTCTTGGCACTCATAAGTAGGATCACCAATATCGCAATAAACTGTTTATTATTATAAGAAAATAATAAGCCTTCATGTAATAGATTAATGGTTAAAATATGAAACTTAAAATAAAATACAATATTGAAGACGTACAATCGGTGGATACATCTTCATGTATACCATCAACGAGAACATTTTGCTTTGAAGTTCTCATTAATCTACCATTGTTCCATATTAATTTTCCTATGTATGTAATTAAGGAATTAAGGAATGAGAGTATTCTTTAATTAGACTAATCACTAATGGAAAGATCTATGCCACATTAACAAATTCATATGCTTATAAAAAGGAAGTTGGTGATCATTAAAAAAAAAATAGGAAAGAAAGAAAGAGGTTGCTGCTAGCTTGCTTGTAGGCTAACTAATATCCTTCTATTCTTTTAATTTATTTTCTTTCAAATATTTGTTTAAAAAAAGGCCAAATTTAAAATAAGATGATGGTTGTGTAAATAAAAGTAAAAACATGAAATAAAAGTAAAATATTTTTTCAAAATAAATGATCCTAAATTTCTACTAAGATTGCACACAACTTGGACTCGTGTCTCTGAATTTGATAAAATAACCAATCCAAAATCAACAATATTCAGCTAGCAAAGTATTTTTAGTCCAATAATTGCGTTTTGATGATATTCGCCCTCACTTCCTCCAAGTATGGAAACATGTGTCCAGCACCTGGCACTTCATGGTATTGAATCCACGGAATATTTTGCGCAATATAGCGTTGCAATGTAACAGAGATAAGCTTATCGTCATCACCTTGCCATAGATGAACATGGCCTGTGTTATCTGGGAAAGGGTTATCAATATCAAGAGGATCAAAACCCCAACTTCCAAACCCAACTATGATGTCACGACAAATGGACTCAGCTTCTCCTTGCTGCTGCACCTGTGACTGCAATAAGTTTATGGACTCACATCATTGCTTGGAGCAGTAAAAATTCACATATCTCGTACTAGTGAAAAAAAAGAAAAAAAATACTTTTAAAATTGGTTAAGATAAACTTTTAAAATGAACTGATTGTCTGACTTTAAAGATCAATCTAATGTGTATGAACTTTTAAAATTAGATAAGAATCGGTTTTAAAAGTTTATTTTTATAATTGGTAATAAATAACCACTTTAAAAAGTACTAAAAAAATCGATAATTTATAACTGATTTACTGTGTTATACTAGTTCTTTGGGAGCCTCACCCTTACACATTTAACACCCACTTGCATTGATTATTTGGTTGTCGAATATGATATACACACATAATTTAAAATCAACATCAGGCAGGTATAATTTTTATTTACTTATACTTTCTTTAAATAAAGGAAGCATGTGATGTCTCTTTTGTTCTAGTCGTATTAGCCGAAGTTATATATGTATATATATAAGGGATCTTTTTACTCTAAGAATAAGTCTATATAGACTTACTCTATTCAATAACTCATGTTCTATATCAAATTTCAATGATCTAACCGTTCAATTTAAAGTTCTTAATACATAAATTAAATCTGCAAATTTTTAGAAAATTTGAAAATCATTTGATACTTCGTTTCATTAATTCAAATCAATGTATAAAATGATTTTATAATTATCAGTCAATTTGAATTAATGAAACGAAGTATCAAATGATTTTCAAATTTTATAAAAATTTGCAGATTTGATCTATGTATTAAGAACTTTAAATTGAACGGTTGGATCATTAAAATTTGATGTAAAACATGAGTTATTGGACGGGGTAAGTCTATATAGACTTACTCCTAGAGTAAAAGAATCTCTCCTTATATATATATATATATATGAGGATGGTTCAAACGACACCGGTGTAACTTTTACTAAGTATTACACCGCTCAATAACTTTATATTAAATGTAAATTTTATAAATCCAACCGTAAAATTAAAATTTCATATCATTTTATATGTGTACGTCAAATTTTATTAAAATCCAGAAATTTATATATATAT